TCGATCTGGGCTTCACTGAGCAAAAACAGTGCCCTTGTTGCAAGCCAGACCAAATCAGTGACCTCAAGATGAGCTTCCAGAGCCTGGAGGCTACCTCTTGCTTGCAGGAAAAATATACACGTTCACTCATGGCCTTCAGCTCTTTCACCTCTGGGTGGTCACTCAATGGGAGCGTGGGGACTCTGCCTGCTGGCAGAGACCAGATCCCAAACCAAACATCCCCATTAAAGTTATAAGAAACAGTTCTCTGGCTCCAACCCTGTCTACCATTTGAGCGTCCCAGCCACCCAAAAGCTTCTCTCATCATTTCTGGGACATTTCATCGGTATTTGTGATTCTCTCAACAACTCCATAGTACACAATACTTCCTCCAATTCTAACCCTGGTTTTCCTCAAGGATAGGCACTGCCTCAACCTCTGACAACCTGGAAGCCCCAGGAAGTTGCCTCTCCCCTGTCCTGCCTCCTACGCAGGTGCCTGTGGCCAAGCAGGACATCAATCCACCCCCGTGCTATGCTCTTCCTCCCTGAAGAAGAGAGAAGCCTGAATCACCCCCAGCACCCCAGCGTGGGGCCATGGCCTAGGTTCTCAGGCACTCCTAAGATCCCCGAGGAAGGTCCAGGAGGACGATGTGTGGCCTTGCAGTGCTAAAAGTTCCCTTTCAGGGTTGGTGCCAGGCCTGGGATCTGCCCCAACACCCCTCCAGGCAAATCTGGATGGGGCCTGAATCCTGGAGATTTCAGTTTGATCTGCGGTTCCTGACATACCAGAAGTGCAGGGCCCGGGGTGCTGCTGCAGCCAAAAAATCACAATACACCTTCAGTCCCGATCCCTTCTCCTCCAACGCTCTAGGACTACCGATATCACAGGCACGAGCCTGGCTTGAGAGATGGGAGCATAAAACAGCACAATGTTCCAGTTACCGCCTTTCGGGGTTTTTGAGTCAAACCACTCGTCTTTTAATAAGGTAGTGAACAGATCGGCTTTTTCAAAAAAAATTTTTTTTAAACCCATAGATAGGACCTTTGGAAAATGTTCTGAAATAGTGCCCCCTAATGGGGGTCCTTCACCACCACACTCTGCTGTCACGTTGCCACCCCTCTGATATAGGCAAGGGGTCCTGATCCAGACCCCAAGAGGGGTTCTTGGATCTCACCCAAGAAAGAATTCAGGGTGAGTCCATAGAGTAAAGTGAAAGTGTGTTAAGAAAGTAAAGAACCAGGCACAGTGGCTCACGCCTATAATCCCAGCACTTTTGGAGGCCGAGGCAGGTGGATGATGAGGTCAGAAGTTTGAGACCAGCCTGGCCACGAGGTCTGGAGTTCGAGACCAGCCTGGTCAATATGGTGAAACCCTGTCTCTGCTAAAAATACAAAAATTAGCCAGGCGTGGTGGCGCTTGCCTGTAGTCCCAGCTACTCGGGAGGCTGAGGCAGAAGAACTGCTTGAACCTGGGAGGTAGAGGTTGCAGTAAGCCGAGATT